CCTGAACTGAGCTTATAAGTGAATTCCTGATTAATGATATTTCTTTGGAATTTGTTTGACAATTACTTTCCAGGTTGAGTGTGGGACCCCAGCAAGATAAGAATATGGATCTTGCTTAAAGCTAATATTTTGTCCCCTGTGTTTGATCCCACAAACCTTCATGGACAAGTGGAACATAAGATGCAATACATCCCAATTTGCTGTTAAGTATGGGGACGCCTGCAGACAAGGTACAGCTCAGGCAGAGAATTCTGGATAAGATCAAATATAGAAGAATAATTTGAATAATAATTATAATAATTCAGTTAGCTAATCAGCTGAATAACTAAACGGCATGTGAATAGCTTGTTGTGCCTAAATACCCCAGAACCTTCATACTATCCAGCAATCCTAAAAAGTAAATAGATCGAGAATACCATAGTGATTTCTAAGTAGGTCATAAGCACAACTATTGTTCACTTCCTATGAGAAGAATCCTGGAAGAATCGGGGGGGGGGGGAGGATTTTAATCTAAAATTAAAAGGTGTAATTTAGCTTTGGAATTTACTACCATGAAATGTGGTGATGGCTACCAGCCTGTCTTCAAAAAAGAATTGGACCAGTTTATGGAGGTTATGGGAATCAATTCCTATCTGATGGCAATGGAACTCCTTGTGAAGGCATCTGCTGAGAGACTAGTGGGCTTCCTTGTACAGTTGGTTGGCCACTGTGAGAACAGCCTGCTGGACTAGATTGATCAGGGAATCAATCTGTTCTTATTTCCCTCAGTTCTTTTATAAATTATGCCACGCAAATGTAATTCATGAGAGTGGTGTTATTTTCCCTTAAATTAAAATGAATAGATCTAATCCAAAAGAGAAGCTTTTATTTTCAGGTAAGAGGCAGCAAATAATCAAAGGAAATAAAGTGATTTAGAATTAGTGATAACATGCCACCTAGTGGTTTGTGGTCTAAATCAGATTAATGCACTCCACCAAAATATTCCACTAAAGCCTCATCCTATCAGCAGCTGTCTTTTTTTTTTTCTTTCTTTCTTTCTCTGCAGCAAGAATAAAAATCTCAAGTTGTCTAAGAATTACAGTCCTGTCTACAATCTAAAGGAGCGATGGGAAGGATGGGCTGATGAACATGTGATAGTACAAAAACTCAATCCTTTCAGTGAGGAGTTTGACTATGAGCTTGCTATGGCCACCCGTCTGCAAAAAGGAGATGAGGGCTATGGTTATCCTAAAGAAGGTACGAAGACAGCAGAACGAGCCAAGAGAGCAGAGGGCCACATCCACCGGGAGATGAGAGACATGTGTTTCATTATCAGAATAATGGCTCAGCCTAAACGTGATGGCAAGATCCAAGTCACTTTTGGTGATCTCTTTGACAGATATGTTCACATTTCAGATAAAGTGGTTGGAATACTCCTGAGGGCCAGAAAACATGGAATGTTAGACTTTGAGGGAGAAATGTTGTGGCAAGGCCGGGATGATGATGTTCTAATAACCTTGTTAGAATAAGGTCTTTTTCCTCACAGGATAAACCAAAGGGCATCCTTGTATTCAGAATGTTTTATCAAAAGTTTTATTAGAAAGATCGACAGACATCAAGCCTTTCATCGGTACTCAGAACTTATTATTACTTAACAATAGTATTTCCGTATTATTCCATCTATATGTTATTATTTATTAAGTACATAGATAGATTGTTCTA